TTCTTTAATTCTCCAGGTGACTATGATGTAACATCATGACTGAGGCCCACTGCCCTAAGGTGAAATAAACTTAAGGCATAGGGAAACTTTTACATTATAAAATTATTTCTTTTAATCACAGCTCATTGCTTATATGTTATTTACTATTGTAGAAAAGGGTGAAAAAATAGCAAATTTAATTATTCCTAGTTTAAAAATGTATCCAAAAATAAAGATGACTTCTCTGAAACATTGTTGGTATCATTTGATCTATAAATCATATTCTAATACATTTACTACATACTGATATATACTTTTTGTATGAATATTATACATTAAAACTAAGGAAATAATGATTTAGGACATTCTATCGATCTATATCTATCTCTCTAAAGTAGGCTAGAAATTAAGGCATGAGGTGTTAAGGTGTGGAGTTAGAAATTATACTGTACTTAATTATCAATAATCAAATTATCATATACTTCAATAACACATACATTTAACTTTAATCTGTATATCTTCAATTATTTTTAATTATATGTGTAAACACAACTACACACACCTTTATTTATTTATTCATACCTTCATTTACTTATTTATACAGGGGTTCCCCTCAAAGCCATTACCATTAAACCATACTTTTTATTTGAATTTTCAGAACAAGCTCAGGAGGTAGGTGTTGTTATTACTCATATTTTACAAATCAGGAAATTGTCTACAGTCACAAAGTTAGTGTATCAGACATATTAGAACCTTAATACATACTTGGCGGACATATGCATAAAAACAGAGAGATAGACATGTACAACAGCTAATCTTTCCACTGAGTATAAGGCTTGAACCTGTCTTAGAAACCTCTCTGTGAAAACTGAGCAAAAGTCTAGGTATTCTTTCATTCATCATATAGGTATAGGTGGTATCTTTATTCCCCAACAAGGCTGAATATTAAAATATGGATCCCAGGTTCCAACTCTAGATTTTCTGAATCCCTGATAGTGGAACTTGGAATTTGTCTATTGTTTTAAAGTTTCTCAAGGAATTCATATGATCAATCAGGTTCAATCACTGGATCTCACTGCTGAAGTTAGAAAATTAAAGTTTGAGTCTTACTACTGCTCCATAGAAAGGGCAGGCAAAGAAGTATCATGGACAGAACTGATATGTTCCCAGCTAGTTTCCCCTCTCAGAAGGTAACAGGCAGCAATACAGCAAAAGTAGTGACTTAGGTCTTTCGCTCTCAAGTCAGACAGAATTTCACAGAGTCCCAACAGTGTCACTGGATAGATTTGTTTCATGCGGCAAGTTGCCTGATGCTTTCAAAGCCATATTCCTTTCTATAAAATGAGATATTGTTTCATAGCATGTTGTAAAGATTAAATAAAAAGAGTATGTTCTATCCTGCATGGCACAATGCCTGACACCTAAGAAGAAAAAGATACATTTTACCTTTATTGAAGCAATCGGAAAGTATGAAATCATGAAGGAGATAGAGTTCTGACTGGCAGGGTATCTTATTTTCCCAGGTTCATTTATTTATCTTAAACTATTCTGGTTGCAGAATAACTCGCAAGCCCCTCCCCCTACACTTAAGCTGTGAATAATCTTGCACTTTATAAGGATGTTCTTTCCATGTGAAAAAAATGTTTTTAAGTTTTCTGGAGACAATATCTCTTGTGCTATTTATATTAAAAAATCTAACAACTGAACTCTACCCCTCTCCATCATTCTAGAGTGTGTATGCCACAAATAAAGTGTTCCAGATCAAGAAGATTGAAAGTAAATATAACATAGTATGTTAAAATAATAATTTTGCAAATGCATGGTATGATTATGTCATATTACTTGTAATCATATAATATACAATGCAAAGTACAATTCATAGACCTAGTCTTCTATTTAATTCTAATAAGTAAACTGATTTCACCCTGTTAAGGAAAAGTTAAAGCACTAATCCAATTGCTAATGTAGTCTAGTCTACTTTGGTACCTAGTAGCGACTCTAAATATTATATATATTTTTATTTATCTATTCAATAATACAATTCTCTGTTCAGTGAGTGATGTTCTTCTGCCACTTGGTGGTGCTTGCCAGTTTCAGAATTTGTTTCTTGGTGGCACTATAACACTAAGTACATAGGAAGTGAAACAAAATTGCAGCAATCCCATTGAAAAGGCTTTGCTTCAAATTGTTTAATAATTTAAAGAACCTCTGTGGAAGCAACTGCATTTGTTAACCAGTCACAACCAGTAATTAACTCCATTGGAGCTTTAAGTTACTTTTGGCAAAACGTCTTAGAAAGAGTATATATTATTAGAAAGTATGCCAATAATTTACTTAGCAGAAAATTCAATAACAGTTTTCCTCTGCTAAGAGGTTCTCTAAAATTCTACTTACATAGCCAAGCTCTGAAATTCTAGCAGGTTCTGTTTCATTATCATAATTACTGCGTAAACACTTTTAAGGACTTTGGCTTTAGTTTTAAGCGTGACTTATTTTCATAAGCCTGATTGGTTACCACACCAGCCTTGCTATGGAAAATGACATATTCTCACTCTGTGCTTAGAGTTGTTAAATCTTGATCTACATTTATGTTGCCTTCTCTCCCGAAAGCCTGTAGCGAAAGAAATCTCTAATTCCTTGTTTTGCAGTATCAGTTGGCAGCTCTATCTAATGGGTATTCCGTTTTCTTAAAGAATTTAGCTGCTCTGTCTAGAAGCCGATTTTTCTGATGCCTCCAACGTCTGGCCAAATTGATCTGTTTTAATGGAGTCTTCGTCGGTGAGGAGCGAGATGCCACCGACTAGAATGCTGGGATCTGCTGCTTAATTGCCAGGAGTGAGAGACACTGAGATTCAGAAATCTTTGGAGGAGGGAGGGGAGAGGGATAGTCTCGGACGGAGGCGGAGATGTAAGATAAAGGGATGGGTTTCACACAGGGAAAAAAAAAGAGATTTCTTTGAGGCACTGAGGTGCTGCACGATCACATATCTCAAAGGAGAAGTTAAAAAGCAAGGAAGTGGGAGGAGGTTGGAGGTTAAAGTACTTAAAAGGATTACTCGGGTACAATTTGTTTTTCTGGTGGTGTCTGCAAAAGATAGACAGTCCCCGTTTTCAAAGTATATTAATGCCTCTTTTAAGTGATTGGGAATGGACACTAATTGCCTGTTAAATGTTATCAAATGCTCTCCTAAATTCAGGGGACATAGAAAGAGGGGCACAAAAGGAAAATTTAAATAGAAAAAGGGAGAATCTGGAGGCTTTTGAAAGAGGGAGGGAGAAGGAGGAGGAGAAATACAAGAGAGAAATAGAGAAGAGGATCGAAGAGAAAAAAAATATCAGAAGTCACTGAATAATCATACACAAAAAGGAAAACTCTTCCCCGTGGGGCATCCAAAACACAGACTGCAATAGTGACCCTAGTCACGGAAGAAAGATGCTTCTCTCCACCCTTGTCCCGGAAAGCTTTCGGTCCCGTTACTGGCGACTAAAATGCCATCAGGCTAAAGAGAGTGTCTAACTGCATGAAGAATGCAGCAGGCGGAAGGCGGGTCCCGCTATGCCGTTTGCCCTGTGCCCGCTAGAGCGAATGAAAGAAACGCGCAGCGCCAGCGATTCCTGCCGAGTTAGACCTTCTCGCGTCGCCCCAGGTCACCGGCCATCCGGCACAGACCCGCGTAAGGCACACAGGGCCACTGCCTGCGCCACCAAACGGAGCCCACTCTCCCCTTCCCGGACGCCGCCTGCCGGCGGATGCGCCCCGCAACCCACCCACGGCGTCTGCAGGGGAGCCTTTCTCTTCCTCTCAGACCACTGGTCCCGACCAAATCTGACCTTCCAAACACATCTGACGGCACCTCCCAGGTGGTCACACTAATAGGCTACAGACTGGAGAGGAGAGGGTGATGAGGAGAGGGATTCAAACCTTCGGCGGCTAGGGCAGGGTCGGAGCTGGGGGTGAGGGGCTGGGAGGAGAGAGGGAAGACGAGAGAAAGAAGGGGAGAGCCCCTGCGGATGGCTGAGCGAGCAGCCTCGGAGTAGCAGGCTCCTATGGGAGATGCTGTTGCTGCTTCCAGGCCGGCCAGAGCGGTTCTAACACCGTCGCCTCTCACCCTCTCCTCCCTGCAAATCCCTAGAGAAACATCCCTGGCCTCTCCGCCGCGCCGCGACACTCCCAGCCTGCATCCCCCTATCGCCTAGGCGGCGCGCTCCCGCACGCTGGAGCTCCGGGCGCCGGCAGGACGCCCGCTCCCGGGCTGGCTCGCCCCTCTCTGCCCTGCTGCGGCCGCTACTCCGACACCTGCTCCCCCACCATCTCCAGCTCGGGGAGACGCCACCCAGCCGCGCGGCTAGTGCTCGCAGCCCCGGGTCGCGCGAGGAAGAGGGGCGCTAGTCCGGACCCTGCGCTCGGTAGGGGGCGTCCTGGAGCGGAGAGTGAGGCGAGTGGTATCTGACCGTGCGGGTAGCCCACCCTGAAACCCGAGCTTCTCACTTGAGCCATCCCCGCCTAGCCGCACTCGGGCCAGCGCCTAGCGAGCGAGCCCATCTGTGGCTTCTGCGGCCGCCTCCTCCTAGCCTCCTCGCACCTCCTCGCCGACCCCTCCCTCCCGGGACCTGCAGCCCGCTCCACCAATCAGAGCCCGATTGCCTCTTCCCACGTGACCCCGGGCGGGCTGAGGACCTGCTGCTTCCCAAACGCCAGAGGGATGCGGGCGGCAGAGCGCGAGAGGCTGCTGCTGGGCTGCGGGGCGCCTTGACTTTCCCTCCACCCTGCCTCCTCGGGCTCCGCTGCCCTGCCCCTGGACTCCAGTCTGCTCCTGTTCCCGGGCTTCCCAGAGCTCCCTCCTTATGGCAGCAGCTTCCCGCGTCTCCGGCACAGCTTCTCAGCGGACGACCCTCTCGCTCCCGGGGCTGAGCCGGGTCCCTGGATGTTGCTGAAACTCTCGAGATCATGCGCGGGTTTGGCTGCTGCTTCGCCGCCGGGTGCCTCTGCCACGGCCGCCGCCTCTGCTGCCGCCGTCCGCGGGATGCTCAGTAGCCCGCTGCCCGGCCCCCGCGATCCTGTGTTCCTTGGAAGCCGTTTGCTGCTGCAGAGTTGTGCGAACTAGTCATGGTGCTGTGGGAGTCCCCGCGGCAGTGCAGCAGCTGGACACTTTGCGAGGGCTTTTGCTGGCTGCTGCTGCTGCCTGTCATGCTACTCATCGTAGCCCGCCCGGTGAAGCTCGCTGCTTTCCCTACCTCCTTAAGTGACTGCCAAACGCCCACCGGCTGGAACTGCTCTGGTAAGTCCAGAACCCCCGTCCCCGACCCCTTAACCCCGCAGAACACGCTTATCGAGCACAGACAGCCTGCCCTAGCGCGTCTCCTCAGTCCTTCACCTCCTACCGTCCTAGACCCCTAAGGCCACTGTCCAGAGAAACGCAGGGAACTGTTTCAGGCACGGGGGTGGGGGGTGGCGGGTGGTTCCGGGTTGGGTAGAAAGTGCAGGTGTAGCAGGAAACCTTTGCAGGCTTGCGCTTACATTGGAACTGCGAGAATTTTGAGAAACACTAAACTAGATGATTTTTTTTTTTTTTTTTTTTGGTCCACTAAAAAGAGCACCAATCCTGACGGGAAACTCTAAAACAGAAGCTTTATCATAATTAAAGAAAAACGTCTGGCTAGGATGAGGAAGAAATAACTTTATAAGAAAGAATGAGCGAGAAAGCAATAAATCTAATGGTGACTGCAGGGGAATCGCTGATTCCTGGTAAAGGTGCCATGAGGGCGCACTCGTCTCCCATTCAAGACCAGGTCACACAGATTCTAAAGGAGCTGGGTTTCAAGAGAATCTATTTCTCTCTCTCTCTCTCTCTCTCTCTCTCTCTCCCCCCCCCACCCCCCACCCCCCACCCTCATCCCTCTTCTCTCCTAGGCTGCAAAAGACATTGGTTTTTGCAGTCCAGATATGCCCCACTCTTGCTTCCCTAAGCTTCAAGGTAGTAGAGAGGAGTTGAGAACAAGAACACTTTGCGGGTCTCCCAGGCCAGAATGGGCATAACCGAGCCTGGTCAGGCTCCCTGTAGGCGAGCCGAGGGCGGTACTGACCTCAATGGGCGCTGACTCCTCCATTTCTGGACAAGCTTCCGTGGAGTGGATCAGGAGCTTTTCTTGCTTGCTCGGATTCCTTCAGATTCTGACGGCGAGAGCTTGGCAGGCTTCGTTCTGCTGCTTCCTAATTACATAGGGCCCGAGGATGGGAGTTGCTACACTCCTAGCTGGCATAGCATTTCGGTTTGACAGCTTGTAGTATACCGAGCGGAACTGTGGTGTGATTTCCTTGGCATTTCAAACTCCGTTAACATGCCTAGGTATTGTCCCTTAGGTGTGGTCTGTTCTAGTTTTAGCAAGTGTGTATGTAATTTTTCATCTTCCGTGAATATAATTCTGCTGTAGTTAAATCTGGTTCTGAATAAAGTGGCTTTCAAGGATGTATGTGAGCTGAAGTGTATGTAACTTTTGAGAGGAGGGAATGACCAACTGTAACTCATCGGTGAAAGCATGTATAGTTCCTAGTTATTACTGATGTAAATGCCAAAAGGAAAGTTATTATGCATTCTTTCAATTTATCCTTTACAGAGATAAGTTGATATTTGCAACTCTGTTAGATTTGGGTCAATGGATTGTTCTGTTTTTGGCAGTTTCTAAATGTGGCATTTTTATAAAATTCAACATGTTTCTCTAACTTCTCGATTCACGAATACATGTGTATTGTTTTTGAACGAATAAGTTTCAGTTTGCTAGTGCATAATCACTTTTTAGATGCTTTATTATAGTAACAATCATGAGCCTGCAAAATCAATGTTTGGAAATGTTGATGGCTTTGTAGTCCAACACAGACTGGTTTGCTTCATCCTTACCTCTTGCATTGTTTTAGGAAATAACTAACTTAAATGTGAAGCTGAGATTTGCAATCAAGAAATTCAATATTAGCCAGATATGTTAAAGGGGACTGCATAAACTAAAAAGAATAAACTGGTTTTGCGGATAAGTTGTCAAGAACTTGGCACCCGGCTCCCACCCCTGTTAACTTAGAGGTGATCAATCTTCATTTGAGCCAAACAGACCATCACAGAAAACACTGTGCCTGTTTATCTTTATTATTGTGGCTTTGTTTCCTCTTTGTCTGGATAAATTTCAAATAAGGGGTTGTTTCAGTACTTGAAGCAAAAGAACAATTAAAGATGGGTCAATGATAAATGGGCATTCAGAGATCATCACTAGCTCTTTTCCAAAATGCGGAGTTGTGGTCATATATTGTTCACCTAATGAGCAAAAAACAAACAAACAAAAAACAGGAAGCAAATGTTAAGCTTTTATTCACCACTCTCAGTATTAACCCAAGCTTTAAAAAACAGTGGTATCAGAAAAGGATATTAAAGGAGAATTGACTAGAAAAGAATTGTGGGAAATGGAAACGAGTATTGATCACTTAACTAGATTTTTAGGTTATCAGTAGACAGTGACCTTGCAGTACAGCTATAGTTGCTGGATTTAAAATTTAGGACAAGTTATTTTAATGCTTCAAGATTGTCCTTTTTTAATCAAAAACCTGTAACATTTTTTAATGACTGGAGTATTCTCTTTGATTTTGAGGTTATGATGACAGAGAAAATGATCTCTTTCTCTGTGACACCAACACCTGTAAATTTGATGGGGAATGTTTAAGAATTGGAGACACTGTGACTTGCGTCTGTCAGTTCAAGGTAAGAAGTCTTATATTTGCAACTTCTAATTCATTAATGAGACTGCAAAGCAGGGATCTCCCTTTATAGCCTATCACTTGGAAATTTATAGCTGTGCAAGCTAAGAGGGAAGCTGGCACCAAGCAAAAGTACTGGCAAGAGAGCCAACTGATGTCAAGAAGACATACGCTTTTTGGAGAAATGTATATGCCAAAGTTATAAATGCCACTGGAGGTGGAACGCTTCAGGTTGTGCTTTTGGGATGTCAAAGGAAGGTTATGTTTCTCTGACCCTTCTAGCCTGCACTTTAAAAGTGAATTGACTGGGGATAATAGTCAAAATGGGGCTAAGAAGTAGACTTATGCTTTTGTTCTTTTTGATTAGGGCTATCATCTTTTTATTTTATTACCATATGTTTTAATGGTCTTGGCTTTCATTATCCTGGTGAACTGACTAGGTTTTTAAATTAACTCCTTATTAGTATAACTTCAAAACTTTGCCCTAATTTGGAAATCATGAAACTTATTAATTAATATATGTCAACTTTTTCATGGGAACCACATTCAATCAGAACTGAATCCCCCAGGAATCCAAAAGAGTATTTAGAGCCACAAGTCATTTAATGAACATGAGAAAGCTGTACTTTTTCTTGTGTTAATTTCTTTTAACTACAAAGAGAGAAAGAAATTGCACTACTGAATCATCAAAACTAGGTTACTAGTATCTATTAAAACTAGAACTCTTAATGTCATTAGTATAGTCATTAACTAACAAATGCTTTCTACCATGTGAAAATAAATCTTTTCCTCTCAAAATGTAATCATGTCGAATTTCAAATAACATCGATGTTGTACTAATAGCCTATATTTGCCCTTGAGCGTTTCAAATTATTTTTTAAACGCTTTTCAAATCTGACAATAAGACTCAACTAGGAAATATGCACATAAACAAAACTGTACGTAAGATACGGAAAACTTTTCTAAGACTGTAGGAATAAAAAAGGGTACAGAATGAATAAAAGCATTAAACTCAAATTTAGACCTAGATATCTGGTTTAATACGTAATATTTAGAATTATTGATGAAATTTATATATTTTAGATTGAATTCAACCTCCCACTAAGAGAGAGAAGATAATTCACATTTAAATAAAGTTTAAGTGGCTTTTAGAAACGCTAAAATCTTCTTAGACATTATTGTCTTCTTTCTAAGAAACATAGTAAGACAACTGATATTTGTGAAGTGCACCACCTCCTGGTGGGTAAGTACTGCTGTGATCACAGAGTTTCTTAGACCATACCATAGTGTTAGAAACATATTTATGCATATTTAATATGCATATAACACCAACTTCTAAGGTCTCCAGCCACATAAAACAGTGCAATTATGTTCTTTAAATGAACTACGGGAGAGAGATACAGCATGAGAACTCCACCATTCATACTTTACCCAAATGTTAACTAAGGAAGAAAAAACATAGTTGGATAAATCATTAATTAAAGGCCCAGAGAATTTTGTGAGTTTTTTCTTCTTTCCCTTTGTGATTTCCATAAATTTGTCTTTTTTTCACAACCATGGGTAGACATAAGAAATGAACTCATAAAAAGTATCAAATGAACCAGGAAAAACATTCCTGAAATGTAAGGCCATGGTTCTAAGATTTCACCAGAAGAAAAAAAAGGGGGGTTGACAGAATTCTAAAAGGATGAATGCTACAAAATGGAGATATATAATTTTCTTATTAAAGGAATTGTTTTCATTTTATAGGTGCCACAGAAGGCTTTGGTAAAATTTTATCAACAAAAATATTTATGTTGTTCATACATTGTTCAATCAGTTATGTTTACCATTCATTTAAATAATTGTTAAGTGGAATTGATGGGGGGCTGGAAACGAATGTAAGTTTGAGTAAGAAACTAAAATGGAAATTTGCTTTTCATAATCCTTGTGGCATTTTAAATGTATTAGTGTATTACTACTGCTCTTAGTTTGTGCTTTGCAGCAGTTGTCAATCTGGCAAGAAAAAATAAACATCTCCCTAGTGGAAAATGTAGACTTTGCACAAACCAAGAATATAGAGTGGCTGAATTAAGTTGAAGGTGAAAAGTATAAGTTCCATGAAGAATAATAAATAGGATATTGAGTCTCTTGATTCCCTCTTTTCCTAATACATGAATTTGAGTTTTTTGTGTGTTTGTTATTTAAGTCCTAGTATCTGACAAAAAAGGGAGAGGTCTTGAAAATATATTTTCCTATATATTATTTGAAACTTCTGTTTTTTTTTTTTTCTCTGCTGCCTTTTCAGGTACAAACACACATTTCTTTGTAATTTTTTTTTTATTTTTTGAATGTTTGGACTTGCTCTATCACTCAGGCTGAAGTGTAGTCGCACAATCTAGGCTCACTGCAACCTCCACCTCCTGGGTTCCAGCGATTCTGGTGCTTCAGCCTCCTCCCAAGTAGCTTGGAATACAGGCACACTCCAGCATGCCAGGCTAATTTTTTTGTATTTTAGTAGAAACAGGGTTTCACCCTATTACTCAGGCTGGTCTCAAAATCCTGAGCTCAGGAGGTCCACTGGCCTTGGCCTCCAAACGTGCTAACATTACAGGCATGAGCCGCTACGCCCAGCCTGCAATCTGCAGTCTTTCTGGCTGAGAGATAAACTTCAAAGAGAAATGGGCATACATTTTCGTATCTATAATGTTTTCAATTTGCATTATTATTAGAACACTAAGGTGAACATTATTAGCCTTCACCTCTCTTAGACAATTTTAAAATAAACTGATATCTGTCCTTCAAACATATTACCTCATTTATTTCTCACAACTTGGTGAGATAATTATTTTCTCCTGCCTCTTTTAAAACTTTCATTTTAGATTTGGGGGTACATGTGAAGGTGTGTTACATATGTAAACATGTGTCACAGGGGTTTGTTGTATGCATTATTTCATCACCCAGGTATTAAGCCCATTATGAGGATGAAAATTTGGAAACATATGAATGGATGGATGGAAAGATAGATAGATAAATAGGTAGAAGCAGGGAGGAAGGAAGGGAGGGAGGAAGGGAGGGAGGAAGGAAGGGGAGGAGGAAAAGAGAAAGGGAGGTACATGTAGATATTTATAGATAGCCCTGGTTATGTAATAATCAGTGACCACTTTATAATTTAAAAATATGAGGAAGCTTTATGTTTTTCAGGTATTACCTAATTCAAATATTAAATATTTTCATTTAAAAAGTCATTCTTAGATCTACAAATGTTCTAATTACTAAGGCTACATAATAGACTGCCCAGAACTTAGTGGCTTAAGAGAATGAACATTTATTTTGTTCATGAATCTGCCATTTTGGGATGGCTTAATCGAAACAGCTCACCTCTGCTCTCTCTGCCATAAGCTGATGGTAGGGGGAGGGAATTCAAGGGCTTGGTGCTGTCCTAGTCTGAGGGTTCTCACTCATACGTCTGACTGTCAGCTGGAGATCTTTGTTCTTCTCCATGTTGATCTCTTTACCTGGGCAAGTTTTGTCCTCCTCATAGCATAGTGGCTGAGTGTCAAAGCAAGCAGAGACAGAGAAAGAGCCTGGTAGAAGTTATATTCCTTGATGTCCTAGTCTGGGAAGCCACACAGTCATTTCCACCATAGTTACAGGCCTGTCAACTCTTGAAATCATATTTTTTTTTTACATTTTAGGAAATATAAATCAAATCACAGAGAAGTAAAAATTACTTATGGAGTGGCCAAAGGATTGGAACATATGCAGACTTCTTAAATCTTTTTTCTTTTTTGGAAGAAAAATATGCCATATCCCAAGCCATTCTTCTTAAGCCTTTGACAACTGGGAATATAACAGAATTGACTTAACATCTGTTGAGCACCTTCTACATGCCAGACTCTGTGGAAGGTGCTGGCAGTATATAAAGCATAAGTCATACATAAACTTCTAGATGCTGAAATCTCAGCTCAAAAAACCTGTATTAACCAAACAAGCAATAAATCCTATGAAAATTTTCTCACATTATTTTTATTAATTTATAGCAAAAATGAATTTTATGCATTCTAGTGTGTCAGGTTATTGAATCCACTAGTGTGATGGGTAGCCAATTTTGGAACAAAATTCTTCTATTGAAAAACACTTATTCGGAAAATAAACATAAGATTTTTAAAACAGAGAAAAGAGAATCACTTTTTCCCCTGAGAGGAAATTTGTACAACACATACATTTATGGACATAACCATCTGGGCTTGAGTCTTGTTTTTCCTCTTACCAGCCAACTATATGGCCTTTAGCAAGTCACTTAACATCTGAGTCTCTCCCTTCATCTGAAACTGAGCAGTATTGTGATTACTACTAAAAACTATTTCTAATAATTTGGCTTATTTTGATGCAGTAGTTAGCCTATTTCATGCCTAGGCTTAGCCTGTTTTCCTTGTTTTTCTAACTCTAGAAATGCCATGGTTTGATGTTGGAGTTAGATGATAACTCTGCTAGTTAAAATACATATCATACACGGCAATTAATTCACATTTCTTTTTATAAGTGAATATTACAAGGTATTTCTTGTTTTAAAAACATGACTTTGTTATTTTCCCAAATGTTCCAGGTAAGCATTTCAAATGGGAAAACTAGGCTATAAACCTGTTAAATATTTAATTGTTAACTAATATACAAAAGGTCCTACACCAAGGCAGTGAAAGAAATAGGAGAACCTAGAACTAGACTTCCACTCATGAACTTTCATGATTTAGAGTGTGCTTCCTCCTTGTGTTCTTCATATTAATGAGTGCAAGTCTTTGTACTAAGGGCCAAAAACATCATGCCAGTAATCTACAGTTAAGCTCTTTTCAGCTCTATAGAAATCTCCCTTTTGGCTTGTGCATGGAACTTGGCAGCTCTGTTTTTAGAACTGTTCGAATTTGGCTTACTGCATCCCTCAGAAGTGGCATATGAGCACTTTATCAGTTTATTCCCTATTTTAAGATGCATATCAGCATTGTGTACTCGCACTTGACAGAGATAATAAATACTTCGCACTCCCCACTCCCAGTCCACTGACTCTATATTTGAGTAATCTGAGAAGAATAAATAAATAAAATTTAAGGATTGGAGAGAAGAAAATGTGAACCCAAATAATCTACACACAAAGTATTATAACCAGGGTTGGAGATGGAGATTGAAAGATAACCCAGGGCAGGAATGCCAGGACTCAAGAATGAGGTGTTGATTTGTCCATCTAGCCATAAACACATTATGACTCTCTTCTGACTACTGAAAGGATCATCAAGTCTATTGATCATAATGTCACCAGCTGTTTTCTTCTTTCTGGTGTCTCCTCCATGTACTCAGACACCATCGTGGTGTTCACTGATCAATATAATCCTACCTACCTTCTCCTGTCCCAGGTTCTGATCATAGCACATTTATTAACAAACACCTACCTCTGCTCTTGCCTTGCTGGCCACAGTTCTGGCATGAGCACAAGCCCCATTTATTTGTTGTCTCTTCAGTACTGATCATTGGAAAATTCAAATCTTCACAAGCATTTTGCTGTTGCCTTCTTTCTTGGATAGTAGTGGGGATACTCAGGACTATGCTAAGTCCATTTTCAGATGTAAATTAAAAAAAATTTTTGGAAAGCTCCTGGAAAGCATCCCTTACACAGGTATCACCTAATCAGAAGTCAATTGCCGACTGAGGTAAACGTTAGCAAAAGATTGGTGAAAAGCTCTAATCAAATCCGGGTTTCAAATATAATCACATACATAGACTGAGTCTAGGAGACAATAATGTAACTCTGGAAAATAATTACTATGTAGATGATTTGCAGAATGTCTAGAGTATATATTGCAGAAATTAAGATAAAGAATATTTTTAAAATATGTGCTAAAACATCCTATTAGTAATTATGGTCATCATAATATGACTGTCATACAATTTGGATTTACTGTTCGGAGAAAAGTAGATCACAATTACCAAAACATTATATTTAAGTTGTTGATATGATATAAAAAGTAAAACTCATAAAATCAGACTTTCAAAGAACATTGACATTTAAATTTGTCATGATAATTAAGCTATTATTATTATGAAGGTAAAGAGCAAGAATTAAATAATTGATTGGGAATAAGGAAGTTTAGGTATTGTAAGAAAATGGAACAAAATATTAAATTTCAGGTTTTAATCAGATTATCAGCATATTGAGAGATGTCTTCGTTTGCATAAATTCTTAAGTTAAAGTTTACTAATGATAGGGTTTTAGGTTTGTTATCATATATATTTAAACTTTCCTACCCATCTCACTATATTATTGGTTTATTTTGTGTGTAGTCTGAACTCACAGCACATCAAAAGTTTAAATATTTTAATTAAAAGTAAAACATAGAGAAAAGTTTTTACATGCATCTGTAAGTATGATTTTCCTCACTTAGTTTCTGGCATAGGTGAGCATTTACAGATAATAATCTTGATCATTATATTTCTATAATTAAACAATGAAGCACATCAGTAGTAGTAATCATGAGATAATCACATCCCTGGTGTAATTAGCAAGCATAGGACAAAGCGAAGTATCATTAATGCCTTAGAGTATGATTATATTATGATGACTGTGCCCTGTAGACTGCCTTAATTTTCACTGTAAAATGTGTACTTTTAAAATAATGACATTCTTTTAAAAATGAACTTTTTGCTTTATGAAATATCTATTAATAGACATACTTTGGAATAATCAGTGAAGTTTATCTACGGTTCAGTAGTTGTTGAAATTTTTCTCTGTGTTCCATAGTTTGTTTCTCTCTAGACCATATCCATGTCAATATACAATAGTCTAAAGAGGTATAAAAATAAATAAGTAAATCAATATGTTATCTGAATATATGAACATTTACAAAGACTAAAATTCAATAAAAATTTAATTAAAAAACAACCACTAAGAGTTAACTACTTTTTTTGGCATTTTGGCTATATAATTATGCTGCGAGCGCAGATAGACATTACCTGTTTGGGAATAGCTTGAAATTAAAATGTGTTTTAACTTTTTTAATCAAGTCATATGGGCCACATGCTAAAGATAATATTAAGTGGTATTAGTATATTTGTTGCTATATCTTTGTTGTGCTACTTGTCCAGTCACTTTGTTGGAATTGTCTGATCAATTTTGATGCTTATTTTTGCCCTATCTAAATCAAATGACTGGTTGACTAACTTGAAATTGGCTTTGTGCATCTTTCAATGATGCCCTTATAAAGACTAATAGGACACAATTAGGATCATTGAGAATGAAAACAAGTGGTTTCTTCTGTAAATGATTATTTCTGGTCAATTTCAACAACTACTCAACTACAAGTAAACTTCACTGACTATTCCAAAGTGTGTCTATTTTTGTGTCAGAGGGGTGCAGTCTCCAGTACTAACTGTAGGCTTACATCTGTGTGTTTCCCAGTGCAACAATGACTATGTGCCTGTGTGTGGCTCCAATGGGGAGAGCTACCAGAATGAGTGTTACCTGCGACAGGCTGCGTGCAAACAGCAAAGTGAAATACTTGTGGTGTCAGAAGGATCGTGTGCAACAGGTATGTGTGTGATCCTCCTTGAAACCTTATGCATGGATTCTAAATCCAAAAACCATGTCTTTCATTTCTCGTTATGTTATCTCCCAATAAATAATTCAGGTTATATATTGACTAGACAAGCCTGTATTCTTTTTTCTAATCATTTATTTTTCTTATTCTTTGTCATGTTTACATTTCAAATCACTTTTGGAAGAAAGAGTATACCTGCCTTAAGGACACTGGTAGATTTCAGTACGTATGTCATTAAATGAAGTACAGGCAGTTGAATAAAAGTCACATATAATTAGAAACTTACATTGACTGCCAACATGCCAAATATGGAGAAACCTGACTATGTATGGATAAAGATTTATTGTTTATTTTGAATGATTCCATTATCTGCTGGAAGGCAATTTTGCAGGTTTGGGCTCTGAAGTTGACATCTAATCTTAGCCCCTCTACAAAATGGTCTTCCTATTATTTGGTAGATTATATTGATGAATGTGTTGGTAATCAACATAATTTCTAATGACATTTGTCATTTCTGGTGCAGTTAACCTGGGATTCTACAAAGATTTTAGTTAGAGTGTACCAACAATGCTATAAAGGAAGTAAGAAGAAAGAGTGACTTGATATGCCCCATAGCTTTTCAAGTTTTCCTTATGTGTGCAGTGGCTGTTAGAGCTTAACAGCATTTGAGGCAAGAAACAAACAGCAGAGATAAAACCCAGCTTGAAAAAAGAATGCTTTAAAATGGGGCTGAGTTTTCAAGTTAAGCTTGATATTGAAATCATATATATTATAGAAGCTTTAAGATGCCATGATAGTTGTTCTTAATGGCAAATAAGTATCTTTCTGGAAAGCCAAAATTGCTGAGAATTTGGATTATATAAGCATATTCAGGAATAATAATAATAATGACATCTAATACAAACTTTCACTAAAAATAGAAGCAGAGGATAGTGTCATGAAAAGTCTTTTTTATTCAAAAGTCACTCTTAGGTATTTCTAATCAAGTGTATGATGTTAAAAGTTATGTGCTAAGTGGCTGGGGCAAGGTGGAAAATGAGCAAAGAGAAAAGCCTCATATTCTTTAAAAGATTATCTCAAGCATTTTGATTGTTAGTAGTTGATAATATCTAAGTTATATTTGTAACTACCCAAGTTTCTGAGAATTAACAGAAGAAAGAGAATAGTATCATTTCTCATGGCCAGTGATGCTTTGTTTTGGTTTGGTTTGTAAGTAGTCTTTTCTCCTAAAGGATTATTTGCTCAGATGTGAATGTTCTTCATGAAAGGGTGGTCATGAGGCAAGCTGGGCTGGTACTCCATGTACTTATTTGCTAAAGCAAACGGGTCATTGCTGCTTGGTATATGAGTGACAAGTTATGAATAAAAGGTACAGCAACATGTGAGAGCCAGTTGGCAGCCTTCTCCAATAGGGAAGGAGGAGGACCAGCATGCTGCTCTCATAGTAAGAGTGGGGGATATAGAAAGTTTGATAAGGAGCAAACTATGAGGAATCAATCAACCAGACCTGAGAAATGAGACATAATACTCTAGGGCAAATAGAATAGAAAAAAAATAGAATCCCAGGAACCAGGAAGGATGAAGGCAAATATCATATAGTATTGAGGAAAGAATTTGCTTTTTCAAGATCATGGCTGCTATCTGTTTTTCTCTAACAACAGCCTCATGAGAATTAGCAGGCAATCATAATAAAAAAGACCAGAAGTTATGGTTATGGCTGATGATGTTTGTTTGGTAGCAAAATCTCTCTTTCTTACTTGCCAACCTCCAAGTTCTTGTCAGCACATAGAATCACATTTTTCCTGATTCATTCAAGCCTTTCCATTCTAGTCCCTGTTGTGCTGATTCTACTATGAAAATAAATACTTAGCCAAGTAGAAAATTTAATCACAATCGAGTAATCCATCTTTAGCTCATTCATATACTTAGATTTCTACAGGATTTAATTAGTAAGCCAATCTTGCTGAATGCATCTTCCATGGACTTGTAAATTTAAAATGTTTTTGATCTGAAGAATGACAGAGAGAACAAAGTAATTTTGATTAACCAGGTCTGACTGTAAATAAATTGGGGTTCTGACTTTTGATCTAAAAGGGATTCTTACTCTTTTCTTTGTAGATTTCCCATTTATTTCTAATGCTGTTTGACACTGAATAAAAGTGGCAACTTGTAAGCTCCAGGAATAATAGGCAGTAGAAGACATAATTTTATATTTATTATATTTCATTGAACTTACAATTTTTTTTTTGTCCAGAGAATAGATTCTTATTCAGAAATCTGCTCAATGGCCTTGTTGTCAATTTAACTTTTTGTCTTGTAAGAAATACATTAACTAGGAGCTCAGATTTAGGTCTAACAGCATGACTTCTTAGGTGTTTCTATCTGACTAATAAGACTTCAGTAGGCTACTTATCATCAGTTTGCCAAGATGACTTATCTTATAATAGAGAAAACATTAAAGCTTCCCATAACAATTTCATAATGATGCCATGGACTTAAGTGATCATTTTTTTAATCTTCCTTCTTTTTTTCCCTGGCTGTTTCATTTGTGTCAAATCAAATATTGCCTTAAGGACCATACCCCTTGAAGTTTTAGAAATGCATGTGGGAAATGCAAGCTAAAATACTATTGGTATTTTTTTTTCTGATTTCCCCAATGATATGTATTTATTAGAATACCTATAGATAAATAGGCAAGATGGTTACTCTACATTTTAATTATTATGTTCCAGACAGTGCTTAAGTGTTTAAAATATGCTATTAGGCAGTAAGCCTCAAAATACCCAATTGAATAGAGGAGGAATATGCTTAGGAAGGATGAATAACATTTCTGTATCATGCAATGTGTGAGGTTTGGAGCTTGAAACTCATAAGCCTTCATGCATTTCCCATTATGCTCATATAAGTATAGAATGATGAACAACACATTTTCCTTGACTTAAAAAAGTTTATAGAAGGAAATTTAAAATAAACTATATACATTTAATTAAAATATATTTAGAATGTGTTATCACTGTAATACTACAACTTGTAATTTAGCCTCAAATGAGCGTAATACTGAATTAAGCTTTCAAATTAATGCAAATACAATCAATTAAAATTTTTGTCTGTGAAAGTATACAAAAAGGAAGCTTGACAAACATTAAGCACTCAAGCACTGTTCTGTCCAAAAGAGATCATGTTGTGACTTATGACAGACAGTTCAGTTGGTAGGAATATTCTATTATCTATATGAATTCATCAGCCTTTCTTGATCTGTTATCATTAAACAGTCAAACGGTATGATTAAAATCCTTGTCTGATTCTACATTTACTAAGAATAATTTTTTTTTTTTTTTTTGAGACGGAGTCTTACTCCGTCTCCAGGCTGCAGTGCAGTGGCGCAATCTCGGCTCACTGCAACCTCTGCCTGGGTTCAAGCGATTCTTCTGCCTCAGCCTCACGAGTAGCTGGGACCACAGACACGTGCCACCACGCCCGGCTAATTTTTGTATTTTTAGTAGAGACAGGGTTTCACCATGGCCAGGATGGTCTCGATCTCTTGACCTCGTGATCCGCCCGCCTTGGCCTCCGAAAGTGCTGGGATTACAGGCGTGAGCCACCACGCCCAGCCAGAATAATTTTTATCATAAATTGTTTTACCAATTAATTTGCCTTTAAGGAAAAGATATGCTGATCCAAAGACATATGTCATTAGTAGTTAATTGAATATACTTGACATTTTAATATAACAGTGTTAGACCCTATGAATTTAGTTAATGTGATTCTCCAAGACTGACAATTCAAACTACTGCTCCTTCATGGTAGTTCCAAAGCCAATACATATAAGAAGAAGGGCTTCTGGGAAGGTCTTCCTTCTTCCATATGTGTCAGCCTTCTGTGGATTTTCATACACCATGCTTCTTTCTATGTGGTGCTTCTCAAAAAGTATCATGGAAGCAAACAAGTAAAAGTCATGTTTTATTTTCATTGGACTAAAACCATACATTCTTAAGAGTGGCACTTGGTATAAGCCTGGAACGCTGGTTGAGATTTCATTGTGGGATAAGGGCACACCAGACAGAGAATACCAATATTAATCTTACTTCCCTGTAATTAACATTAAAATACATAACCAAATGTATTTGGAATGAACAAAAATGGAAAGGCAGAGGGAAGATTATGTCTACACTTAAGAAGTAGAATCAGATGGAACCTCAATTGTCTTGACTCCAACTTGAAATTTTGGGTGTTTCTGGGAACTATGCTCCCAGAAATAGACAGCTTTGATCAACCGTAATTAATGGGTGGAAGGGGAGAGAAGAAGCGGTGAAAGAAAAATCCAGAAGAGGAAGTATGATTTTTTTCTGCAAGCATCATTTAGTTGAATATCTGACTTTAAGCACAAAGTCAAAAATTAAGTTCTCTTCTACTGACTTCAAAAACAAAGGATGATTTGTCACAGATAGAATCATTCACGATTGTGGTATTTGTAAAACATATCAACACCTATATAAAATACATTTCTCTTTAAACTGCTTTTCTCTGTTTATTTGCAATTTGCAAGAATATAAGCCTTAATTATGATTTCATTTGCCACATGCATTAGACTATTTAATTTCTGAAACTTACTGATTGTTACCAGCATTTCATTTTTAATATTTTATTAAATCCAGCCTGCCAAGATTAGGAATTTTTCATAGCTGAGATTAGGATATTTTCCCAACTGGGTAATAATGTTTTCATAAAGCTTTGGAATAAATGATGGATAATTTATTTTAGAAGTTACATTAATAGAAATTAAATTAAATTGATGTGAAGATACATTTTTGGATTAAATATTAGTGTTTTTCTCAAACAATATTATTGCAGTATTAAACTAAGAAAGTAAACTTGAACTTAAGAAGTCATAAATATTTTTGAATGTGTTTTACTAGTAAATATAATTTCCCCTCCCCCCCCCACAGATGCAGGATCAGGATCTGGCGATGGAGGTAAGAGTTGCCTTTTTTACATATTTGAAGATTTACCAGTGGATATTATTATGTATGTTTACTTATATGTGTTCCATTTCAGATATTTAAGACAAAATTGTATTTTGCATTTTAGGAAAGATGAAAACACGAAAAATTGTCTCCATATTAAGTACACGTATAAACCATGCAAATTATTTGGCATACTTATAAATCATACTCTGTCTCTATTTAATCTACCTTGTTCATTTATTTGTTTGTTTGTAAGTAATCTTTGAGATGGATAGGGGTAATGTCAAAACTTCCAAAGACAAACATGTAAGCATATTTGGCAGGGCAGAGGGAATTCATGAGAAAATCATCTAAATATTTGGGCTTTTAAATATATGACACTGCTCTCAATTACGAGGTACTAGCAACACATATATGAACTACCATGCAGACAAGGTTTTAATTATCAGATTTATAATTTGGAACTGAATGAACTTTAGGTCATAAAAGTGAAAAAGATAAAATTAAGTCCAATGAAAGTAAAATATTATCTTTGCTTCCTTGACTAAATTAATCTATAGTCATTTTTAATAAAGTATAATATATGTTCCCATTATTTAGTTTTGTTTAGGGAAGTATATGAGAGAGAGAGAGAAACTTTAAAATTTCATCTAATGTACTTACTACCAAATAAAGATTTTACTTATAGATTGCAACTAAAATCTAAATGTTCCAAATAGTTTTCCAGGTGAAATTCAAACAAAATTCGACTTCTATACACACAAAACAAAACAAAACACAACCTACGTATAATTTCCAGATTAATAAAAACAAAACAAATAAAAGCATTTTCTCAAGACCTTGCTTTAGTTGTGTAAAATAATTAAATATGCTATTTCAAGCTGATCGTAGTTTTTAAATACAGAATTTGATAAAAGATAAGTACAAGAAGGCCTTGGGTTCAGGGAGGTGGATATTTAATGCACCCTTTATCTAGTTCAGGAAATACTTGAAAGATTTATCAAGTTTCCTTATGTAATGAAAGGCTTAACTAGTTCAAATAAGCAATACCCACAGAACATAATTAGAGCAGCATATTGGAACATAATTTTTTTTCATAAAGACTAAAACTGAACAGCAGCAGATTGAAGCACAATTTTTTTTCATAAAGACTAAAACTGAACAGCAGTCAAGACTCAGGCATAGAGTATGTTTCAATGTCACATGATGTTGACAGTCCTTTGATGTCTGGACAGTCTTTCTCTACTTCTAATAAAGGTTTCTTTAGCTGATTAATATAGTATTCCCAAGAAAGCTTCCCTAAAGGTTTTGAAAATAAGAGCTTAGATGAACATATTAAATCTTAAAGTAAAAGAAAAGACAGGAAAAAAGAGACAGTTCCTTTAGTAGATGTTTTACCATTAGAATATTATTAATTAGAAATGAATTAATTTTTTAAAATGTTGCTTTTGTAAGAAAATAGTTTCTATGAAAAATTCTATATATTTTCCAGCTGTTTAGTTTTATACATAGACTACCTAATTTTGCAAATATTGTGCTGAGATTGAACTGTTCCACTGTTCACCCAACCAGTCTTGTTAATTGTCTAGCATCTTTAAAGACAAAATAAAGCATACCAGTTCACAGGACACAGAATGTCTTCATTTCACTTTCTGTTAAAGCATTACCATATACTTTTTCCTACTTGACTATCTTATCATAATATACATCACATCTTTATTTTTTAACAATAAGATGTGAGTTTTGTTTCACGTACTAGTTTCTAGTTTTCATTCATTGTTATTAGCACATGCAAATGAAAGTGAAGTCAAACTCACTCTTCCTTGCTGCATTTGATATTAAAATCTTTAGTTCATTATCTTGTGATCTGAATAAGAAATATTTTCAGGAAATTATTTTAATCTCATGAATATGACATTTATAACTTATTTTATACCATATGAGTGAAACATCCCAGGGAAACCACTTTCTTTCTTTTCTTTGTCTTTTTCTTTTTTTAATCACTCTTCCTTTCAATTATAGGTGCTTTATGCTAACTTGGAGAAAACAAAATCATATTCAAATATTTGCATTAGAAAAAAAGCACATAACACATTTAATTCTGAGCTTATTCTTTTAAATAACTGCCATTCTGAAATTGTGGTGATGAGTATTTGCTCCTAATTGCATACAGTTTTTAAAATTAGAGACTGATCAGATTTTTCTCAAGAGAATTGCTTGTTTTTCTGTTTACATGTTACTTTGCTCTGTAATACTATTTGCTTTTATTTTCTTTAAATTCTTTATTATGGGATACCAAAAACACTTAGAAACTAAAACCTAGAAACCTAATTTAGAGTGGCATGCACAAATTCAACTCACAGATCCCTTGGGTTGTAATCATGAGATATATTTGACTTGCTGTCTCTCCTTTTCAGAAGATAGACTTTCCCCTGTATTTCTGTAGAATTCGTATTACCAAGACATTGAGAGGCCAGAATCAGCTTGATTTATTTTTGAATAAAGCAAAAGTGATTGAATAACTTGCGATCATTTGGCTAATCCAACAATTGTAACTAGTGATCGTTCTAACTAATCTCTATGTAACGTATTCACAGTAATGTGTATTTAATTAATAATTGGGTTTACTTGGCAAGCACTTCGGATGGTTAATAGTTATTTTCTAATTTCTTATTTTAACAAAAGTTAATATAATACCAAAGAGGAGTGCATTGAACAAGAGTGAAGTGAACAAATTTGGTTGTAAAACATTTATCATATGTGACTATCATAAATGATATCGTTAAATCTACAAATCTAAAATCATGTATCAATTATTACTTTTTGTCAAAAACATATGAACTATGACTTTTTTAAAAAGTATTCTTTATTTTTAACATGATGAATATTACATTAGTAATGAAGATTAGACCTGATTATTCTAAAAATAATTTAAGCTTAACCATTTGCACAAGGATCTATCTGTCTTTTACTGCATTTGAGGGAACATTTTTACTATAATAAAAAAGGAACATAAAGGCTTTTTTTTTTTTTTTTTTGAAATGGAGTCTTGCTCTGTTGCCTGGCTGGAGTGCAGTGGCACAGTCTCAGCTCACTGCAACCTCCGCCTCTCAGGTTCACAGGTTCAAGCGATTCTCCTGACTCAGCCTCCTAAGTAGCTGGGACTACAGGCGAAATTCTACCAAGCATGACAGGTCTGAGATTCTTCCCAGCTAATTTTTGTATTTTTAGTAGAGACAGAGTTTCACCATGTTGGCCAGGATGGTCTCGATCTGTCGACTTCATGATCTGCCTGCCTCGGCCTCCCAAAGTGCTGGGATTACAGGCATGAGACACCACGCCCAGCTGACATAAAGGTTTTATACAATTTATTTTAACTTATAATTGTACATTTTATAGGGAGTTTTAAAATATTTATTGACCTATTTATTCAGCTGAAACAATTCAAATGGTTAACTGTATTGAGGTAAAACATGTTTACTGTGTTTCCAACATGATCCTACAAAGGTGCATTCTCTCCTAAAGGTAATTTGTAAAGTAATGATACAAATACTTCATACAAATTTTAATATTTGGCTGTCCCATTTCAGTGACTGTATCCTCTTCTTTCAGTGTTTAAGAAAACTCGCTAATACAAAAGATAATTTTGTATGTTTAGTTTTGAACATAGGACCTGCCATTTATGGAATTCTTTTTTTGAACAAAAGTGTTTGGTTTGCAAGGCATCTACATTAAATAAACTTTTGGATAGATTCACTACTGACAAAAAAAAATCAAGATAAACTATAACTGTGAAATGTGGTATAGGGAGGTAATATGTGGTCCAAATTCCAAAGAATTTGAGAAAGTGATAGAAAATGATTGGTGTTTCAAGTACTTATATATATGGAAGTTTAATGTTGTAAATAAGAAAACGGGTATGTGTAGGAGGGTTAATAACCTCTTATCCACCCGCAGACTTCCTTAAGCAACAAATACTGCAGGAAGAAAATGTATTAAAGGCACTTCCTCTCAAAATTCAGAGGTGTGTGGGTGGTTAAAGAATATTTTTTAACCTCTGCTTTTCTTCATAAGTCTTTCAGTCATATTATAAAGATAATGCTATGAATATTTTCCATTACTGTTTTTAAAAAATTCTTTATTGCTTAGAGTTTTGTTAGATTCTGAAAAATAAGTAAGTCTGGTGAAATTAAAACTATATTTTAACTATAAAATAATTATAAATGTATTATCCTCCTGTACATATGGGAGAATCCACAGTTAAATTTTAATATCTTCTTATGGGAAGTTATATGATAATGTTTATAGTAATAAAATGTATCTGAGATACACAGCATGGATACAAGAAGTATATTTTTATTTTATGAGATAAAAGGAAGCACTGGACCATTTATACAATTTTTATAATTGTTTACAATTTTAAGATTATTCTTTAATAGGTTATTGTTGGATATGTACTAAAACAAGTCAAATTAAACTTATGTCTATTATTTGTATAAAAAGCCTTATTTTTATATGAATTTTCTAGATAATTGTTGTTATGATAAATTTGGTGTATAAAATCAGTTGACATATGGTTTTTATTTAATGAAAAAAATTCCAGTGCAAATTATTTTCATGTAACATTATTAAAGATGTCAATAATTAAGACAGTTACTTCACATACATACTGGATAGAACAAGAAAGGTTTACATGGCAACACATTGTAGATCTTGGGCTGCTATTTCTGATTATGTGAACTGCTAAAAACTGGCAAAAAGGATTTTAAGAACTTTTAAACTTAGAGTTGTTTTTTTTTAATTCTTGTCTTTCTAATGTGGATTTTATAATACTTCGTAATTCGGTTACTCGAAATGAGGCTAATACTATAACCTAGGTATGGTTGCAAGATTTCTGGGGCTGTAAAGATAAATATGACACAGTTCTTTACACTGAAGGAGATTACATGTAAATTCTCTTCTGAGTACACAATGGAAAAAATACGATTTAATTATGAAAAGAAAAATAT